ACTACCTTGTGTTGTTCGCAATGCAAGTGACATAAGCCTTGTGTTCCCGTGGGCCATGTGGGTGGCGCAGCCTTGTGTCCCCACGCAGCCTGGATTAATTGCTTTGGGGGCTGCTTTGGGGGTGACACTTTTCTGCAGACCACCAAAATTTTCTCATGGACAACCAGTGGTCCGTGGCCCACTGGTTGGCAAACACTGCTATATAGGACTGCCCTTGAAGAGCATTTGGAAGCTACAGATAGTCCAAAATGTGGTGGCTCTAGTTGCTTATGAGTATTCCTTTTTAAAAAAAATGCAAAGTTTTTTTATTTTTATTTTTTAACACATCTCTTCACGTGAGCGACGTGATCCCAGATTACAATATTTATACATAGTCATATTTACACTTTCAACTTTCTTAATTAATATCACTTCAAATTATTATCCATTCGACTAATCTTTAGATAAATTTTCCTTTCATATTTCAATTCATTAATTCAATATCAAAATCATTTCATCCTCACATATATTTTCAATTCTTTATCCCCTATTATTTCCATTTTCAGCTTATCACCCGTTTTATGTTACCTTATGTATTGTTATCATCTATAACTTTCTCAAGACCAATATATAATTAGACAGTCAATGAAAGAAAAAACAAGTAAAAGTGAAGTAAGAGTAATACATTTATGATCCACATGGTATATCCCCCATCTACAATATATCTTGTATCTATTCCAGAGATATTCATATAATCATTTCATATTTTTTCTTTGCTTCCAAAATGTACCTAAATAATTTCAATAAAGTTTCATTCCCCTGCTTTTGATTATAATACAATTCATTCATTATAAATATTTTACATTCCCACATAATCCCTTCTAGTTCATTATATTTTCTATTTTCTCATATCCTTTGTATATTCAATTGTATTTTCTATTTCATGTATACCGCAAAGAAAAAAATAAAATAAAAACAGAGTTAATTTTCCCTTTTACTTCCCTTTGACCAATTTCAACCTATAGCATTTACATAACCCTAATTCACACATTTTGAACATAATTAATGCCCGATTTTCACCCAAGTCATCATATTCTGTTTTCCTAATATCATTTAGTCATTAGCATATTTTAGAAGATATATATATATATGGATTGATAACAATAGAACCCTCTTAATATTGCTCACTCCATCTTCATTTTTCTCATCTATAATTATCTAATAATTTTAAGGTAATTCCCAGTAAGTTACAAACTTCAAATCTCCCCAGTCTACATTTATAATAAAAAATACAAAGATATATTCCCGTGTGGTGTCCCCCTTTTATGCTTATGCTATATCTAACCCTTATTTCTAAATCTCTTGGCCTTGTAATTTCTCTTAGTTTTAGCCAGCTTTCCCTTTACTAAGTTTTCCTGGCCTTTCCTCTTTATCCCTCTTTTTTCCACTAATATTACATTTATTTCCATCTGCCAGTCACCCGTCTTTCCTCTTCTCTTTTTTTAAATTTCTTTTTGTATAGCTTCTTCTGCTTACTCTTGGGAGCTTTTTCTCTTTTGTTTATTATCTCTGTCATCAATGTCTTAGTTTTAGTTCCTTTTGTGTTTTTTGGCAATGTCTCTGAATCTTCATGTCCATCTTGGCTGTTTTCCTCTTCCTTTGGCTCCTCCTCTCTAGTATTCCTTTGTTCTGCTATAAATTGCATTACTTTTTCTGCCAGTGTATCCAATAGTCCCCTTCTTTCTTTTATCATTTCTTTCAGTTTGCAGTTCCAACTTAAATTCTTTGCTTGCTTCTTCCATTTTTTAATCAATTGTGTTATTGTTTATTTTATTAAAGTTAATTGCAATCCTTGCCAAGAGACTCCATTTATATCTCTTTTCCTTATTGGTCCTTCTATTTCCTTTGCACAGTCAACCCCCAACAGCCCCAAATATTGCCTTCCTTTGTCCTCTTGCTGCAATCTCCCCCTTTTTCTTTTAAGCTTCCTTAAGTTCTTGTTATGTTAAAGTCTTTTATTCCATGTCTTTTCTCATTCACACATTTAACAGACCAGTAATTTTCCATAAAGTCATCCAGGAAAAAATGCCTTGTACCATTAGGTGGCGCGCTATATTGCTTCCACTTTTCAAAGTTTTTTTTCCCAATTATATTAACGTTAATTTTCAAGCATTTCAACCATTGGCTTTTTTTAAAAAAGTATAATCAATTCCAAGCAAGTTCAGCATTTTGTTCAATGCCTAATTAATGCCAGGTTCTGTATATTATTCCCAATTCCATCCTTAATTTCATTATAGCTCTTTTGTAGTCCAGTTTTTTATTTACCTTATATTGTCCTCTTGTTTTCTATTTGCCACTGTTGTACTCTCAAGCGAGGAGTCTTTCTTTCTGCTTTTTGGGTTTATTAAAACAAAAGGTTCAGCTTCTCTTGTCTGGATACATGCTGCTCACCACTTCACCTCTCCAGTACACACTTAGGTCCCAGTAGCTTCCCATCTTCAGGGCAGCCATTAAAACTGCTACTTCCCCCTGTCTTCCAGGGGAGTTTACCAAACCAGGGAGGGGAGATGCAGCTCCCCTCCACCCAGCTGGCAGTCTCCCCCTCTTCCCCCACCCCTTTGAGGTGAGTCTGATGGTTCCAGTCCCATAGGGACCCCTCCAACAGGGTAAGCACGGATCAAAGCCGCGCACGATCGCAGTCTCCATCCATCCTTGACGGAAGTGCCACCGGAAGTTTCTGTTATGAGTATTCCTGAAGCCCCTTTAAAATGTCTCTGATTTGAGAGTTGCACTGATTGTCAGTTTATTTTGTGGTGCAGTTCAGGATGCAGGTTGTCATATTTAAATTCAGGGTTCAGAGCCTTGATATTTGTGGGACCATTTTCTTTCTATATCATCTACCTGCCAATAAATCTAATACAGTGAGCTATTCACATATCCTCTCAATCAGAGATTGTCACCTATGGAATGGGTGTATCAAGTATTACAGCTGATACTGTGTTGTCTGCACCTTTCCTCTTGATCTTGAGAAAATCAGTGGAGACTATTTCATCAAGCCGTAGTGCCAGGGCAGCTATTACTACTCCTCTGGTTGAGTACTTTATGTTGTTACAATGTTTGATTATATTTATAATTCTTTTATATTATGATTTTAGCTCTAATCTTTGATAATTAAAACTAATTACTTTAACTCTTATTATGATTTGGGAATTGCACTCTGCTCAGATTTGGTTTAGTAGATTAACTAGAACAGCCTATAACAGTGGTTACCAAAGTGGGTGGTACCGCCCCCTGGGGGGCGGTGGGGTGCCTTAGGGGGGCGCTAAAAGAAAAGGGGGCCAGCAGGGGGGCGCTAAGAGGTGCCAGGGGGGCACTGGAGTTGGGGCCCTTGCAGGGCGCAACTCAGGGGTGGGATTCTACTGGTTCATTACTGTTCCCGGTAGTTGGAGAACCAGTAAAACGAGCCCCTGTCTGGCCCTGCTCCTCTCCGCCTCTCCTCTGTTCCCTGGCCAGTCAGTCCTTATTGCACATATGTGACATAGTGTGCATGGGCAGCAATCGCTGACAGCCACAGCAGTCCAGCTGCACCGAAAAAAATGTGGTGGGTTTTGCAGGCACAGGGTTTTTTGCAGGCACAGGGGATTGGTGCAGCACTGCAGGCGGGATTCACCCTTCCCATCCCAGAAGCGCTGCCTGCACCGAGCCGCAACAGGTTCCCACTTGGGTTGGGTCAAGCTGGCTACAAGGTCTTCCACCGGCTGGCGGGATGGACCTGCGGCAGGGTAGTTCTCCTGGTCCAGTCCACCGCTGTCTCCGAGTCACCCAGAAAGCTCAACAAGTGACGCCCAGAGCCACGGAACGACAGAGATGGAAAGCCGGACTTCTTCCCCGGCACCACCCAGAGCCCACTGGCAGTGGCTGTAGATGAAGCCTCCTCCGCAGGTGGGCAAAGGGGGTTCTCTCGGGGGGCAACGGTGGAGTGCGAGAAAAGCAAGACATATGCACGCACCCTTGTTATGCCAAGATTTCCAGCAAAAAGGCAGCCAGGTTTTGAAAAGCAAAGGAAAACCTCTGGCTTTCACACTAAATCATGGTTAGCTGAGTTAACCTAATTATCTGGGTTAGGTAACCTATTAACCATCCTGATGGTTTAGGTTTGCATCGTAAAATTACACCAAATTTTAAGTCGTTAACCACACCTTCAGCATCTTCAGTTTACACCGGGCTAGATTTCAAGATGCATGGTCGAGTGGCATTGAGAGCTGGGCAGCATTCAAAGTTCATAAATTATTATCGATCATAGAAAGAAAAGGGTATATAAGAAATATCTTCTAAAGATGATGACATTTGTACTGTACAGTATAGTATTTTTGCATACCTCTTCTATCTTTGTTTGATCTCCTTTGAACTGTTTACTATCTGTCCATTAGCATCCTTTACTACCCAATTTGTGGCTGTGACCTCCTTCTGAGTTCAGAGAACTTTTGGATAACTTTCCTTGGTTTTCCATGTCTGTTTCTTCAGTGTCTTTACATATATTGTTCTAATACTGCTTCTCTTTGTCCTTTATTTTGACTTAGAAACTGGGAAACCATGAATTGCAAAATTGGAGATAAAAGCTGCCTGGGTCACCCTCTCTTAGGCCAACCTACCTAACAAGGTTGTTGTGGGGAAGAAAGGAGAGAGAACACAGCTTTCAGTAATATACAATTAAGGTGGGCTATAAATATAGGAAATAAATAAAATCGATTTCATTCTACAGTGGTTTTCTATCAACGAGGTTCATCAATTGAATCAGTGTAAATACCCTTTCCTATTTGCTACAGCAAATAATATCAGAGATGGTCCTCAATTTACAGCCACAATTGCTCCCAGAATTCTGTTGCTAAACAAGATGATTAAGTGAATCATGCCTAATTTATGCAGTCCAGCTACACCGAAAAAAAACGTGGCCACTGCAGGCATTCATGACAAGGGTGACATGGGCTGGCGGGGAGCCCAGCGAGAACAATGGCTCAGCCCTGGGTTGCCTTCTCTGGCAGCTAGCTGTGGGAGGAAGGTAAAGTCATGGCCATGGGACGACGAAAGAGGCAGTCGTGGGTGAGGAAATGGGGAGATTAAGGGCCGGGGCCTCTAAAAGGGGAAACGGGATGATGCAGGATTTGCCCAGGCCTCCTGGGCAAAAAATAGGTAGATAGGTTAAGGAAGGGATAGAGAGAGAGGGAACGAGAGAAAGAGAGAGATGCATCAGATTGAAATGAGGCCTAGTTTAGAGACCCTTTTCCACATTGAAACATCTTTGCCAGAACACTGAAACATCTTTGGCTTCTAATTAAAGATTTTGTGGACAAAACATGGTCAAGACTATCAGGAAACTATCACATTTTGTTTAGGCTTTAAACTGGATCCATTGGACCAGACCTCTGCCCTAAAAAATTACTTTTCCCTAATGTATTACAGTGCCAATTTTGAAGAAGGAAAACCAAAATGTACTGTAAATTACAAGGAGAACACACACACACACACACACTCCCTTCTAACACTGCTGGAGCAGGTGATTGGAGTAGAATAGATATTATCTTTCTCCTCCCTCCCTCCTTCTTTATTTCTTTTTCTCTCTGTCCCTTCCACCCCGCCTTCTTTCTTTGTCTGTCCCATTTTCTTTCTGTCCCTTTTCTCTTTCTTTTCTTCCTTCTCTTTTTCTCTCTCTCTTTCTTTTCTCTCTCTCATGCTCACCCCATTGACTTGGTGCACTGCTCCGCTTGGGCTTTCTTGGGCAGATCCTTCCAGTGCAGTGGGCTCAATGAGGTGGACCTGCGGGGCCGACACCTAGAACACGCAGTGGCGGAGCATTTGAAAAGTGGAACAAAGCCAGAGGTTGGTAATTTTTGCTGCAAAGAATCACAAAAGCTTCTGGGCTGTGCACAAGAAGGAAAACACATGTCAATGCAATTCAGCAACATAAAATAAAGAAATACAAATAAAACAAAAACAAGAATAGGCAAAGCATCTCTGATTAGATTCTATTCACTACTAGAATCTAATCACAGATACTTTGCCGATTCTATTTCCAATGACCTGCTCCAGCAGAGTTAGGAGGGAGTGTGTGTGTGTGTGTGCATGGCTGTCAAAACTTCCAAAACAGGAGGACTTCCGGTTTGCAGTGTTTCGGGGCAGGCAGGAATCTGCCATCGTGTGCGGTTTCTGCCTGTGCTCGCCACTGGAGTGCCCTGAGCCACCTGGCTTCAGGGCTAGCCACCTCCGTAGAAGGTGGTGAAGACGGGGGATCTGGCAGGGTCAAGAGATATCGCACCTCTCTTCCCTAACTCCCTTTTCCGAAGGCGGTAGAGCGGCGGTCAGAAATGGTCTCCACAAAGAAGCGCTCAGACAGAAAAGAAAGTGCAGGAGGAGTTAAGAAGAAGTGAAAGTTTTTTTGCTGACCGGGACAAAGCAACAACGAAGGTCCCCTGGAACTTAAAACTTGCAAAAGATACATCGTTCCCAGAGATTTACAAGTGGCGAATGGAAGTTAAAAGGGAAAGTTCTATTTTTTTCACTCTCCTTCCTAACATTGACAGCGAACAGAAAAAAAAAAATTCTTTTGTTGTAAGTGGGTAGAGAGAGGAAAAGAACTGGAGCAGGATTTGGAAGCAAGGAGGAGATTGCCTAGAATTTTAAAGAATCATTAAATACTAACAAGACTTCTAAAAGATACATTTTAACTGGAATATTGCAATTAAACAGTAACCCCAGAAAGAGAAAGTGAAGAAAGAAGAAAGTGTTTAAAGAAACAGCTTATTTGGACTGTTTGGTGACTTTGGGACTTTCGGAAATTATCTTTGAAGGACTAAAAACACTTGGGTGGTTGTTCTGAAAAAAAAAATTCTCTCTACAAAGGCATCACTTGTGGATGAATTGAAAATTGAATTCAAAAAATACAAAGAAGAGGAACAAGAAGGGAAGGACTCTCTTGGCTCTCTTTTTCAATCTTTTTCAATTAGAAATGGCGACTTGCACCTATGAGAAACTGACTGCGCAACAAGATGATTTGGACAAAGAAGAAGCCATCTTTGATGAACAAGTAACTTTATTTGGGGAAGAAAGGGAGAAGGAGGAAAAGAAAAAGGAGACTTTAAGACTTAAAAAACAATCAAAAAAAGAGAAAAATAAGGTGAAAAGTGGATATAATGTTAGAAAACAACAGAAAGGGGGAATACAGAAGAGGAAAAGGGAAGTGCAGAGACAAGGGGGTAAAAAGGGCAGGGAGAAGAAGAAGCAAGGGAGGAAGGAAGGAATGAGAAGCTTCAATGGTGTGGAGCAAGATGTAAAGAAACAAGATTCAGTTAGAGATAATGGGTAAAAATTTAATTAAAAAAGGGATTCTGCAAAGGTACATAAGATTGCATTGTTATATTTGTACTTAGAAATAATGTTAGAAAATTGGAAACAACATGTGATCAAAAAATGGGATAAAATATTCAGTGTAATTTAGTGAAATTTTTGTGAATAAAAGGAAGGCAATGAAATAAATGAGAGAATTGAAGTAGGAAGAAATGGGAACATTTTAATGATACAATGATTTACAATACAAGTGATATGAAGTGGGAGGGAAATAACTATGGAAAGCTTATAAGTGTTCCCATAAAAGTATGATATTCAATCGAAAAGTAAAATGTTTAAGATTCAAATGAATATTAATATTAATGATAGATTTGAATTGGTATGGATTGTTGTTTTAATTATATTACATATTTACAATTTTTTCTTTCTTTAAAATATAATGTGTAATTCTAGAATGTACTAAACAGAATCCCAATGGAAGTTATGTACTATACTAAGTGTTATAAATTTAGGGGAAAGAGATAAAGGCATCATACTCCAATTAGTGTGCAGGAGAAATTTTTTTTAAAGAGAAAAGATAAATAGATAGCTGGAAACAGAACAAAGAATAATAAGCATAATGATCTGAACTGAGATGAGATAAATAAAATAAAACTAAGAAAGTTCAAAAGAGGGGAGAAGCTATATAGAAAACGTAAAATGGTAATAAGATATGGAATGGTATATAAAATGAAGATGAATTTAAATTTTTGTCTGTATGAAGAGATCTAACCCGGGATCAAGCAGCTTTCAGAAAAGATTTTTTATGTTTTATGTTTTGTTTGTTTGTGTATTGTCTTTGAAAATTAATAAAATTTGTTTAAAAAACAAAACTTCCAAAACAGGTCAAGTAGCTCTGGGGAGGCTAGTCATAAATTAGAACACTTGCTAAGCAGTCGCCATTAAGTGAGGACCACTTGTATTTGGTTTGCCAGTCACCTGGCCACAACCACTCAGTCATGTGACCACCAAACCATACCTACCCAGTCATGTGACCACCAAGCGACTCCCAGCCAGAAAGCCACCCCCCCCAGCCAGTCATGTGACCAAGCCATGCCCACCCACTCACATGATCTGCAAGCCACACACTCAAATTAGGCCATGCCCACAGAAATTTGAATCCCACCCTGGGTGGGGGGCACCAAGGATGAGTTTGTAGCACCAAGTGGGTGGTGGACTGAAGAAGTCCGGGAACCACCGGCCTATACGCACTGAAGTACAACCCTGAGATTGGTGCTTTGCCACTTATTTTGTATACAGTATTGTACAGAAGTTAGCAAGCTGCGCCCCAGGATCGGCAGCGAAGAATCCCGCTCCCCGGACAGGCGCTTTCCCCATCTTCACAGAGGTTCGCGGGCTTCACTTAACTGCCCGAAGCCTGCTGAGTTGGTCCAGTTGCCCAGTTCCTGGGCTGCGCCGAACGAACCACTTGCGCCCGGCACACGCGCGGCTGACCGAAGGGGGGTCCATTCGCCTAATCGTGGGAACTCCGCCAGGGCCGGCCGTCGCTTTTCTACCGGCGCAGAAAAAGGGGAAGGGGAAGGGAAAGAGAGGAAGTGGTCGCCGCCTCAGCCGGCCGTTCTCGCCGAGGCGCCAGAACCGTCGCGTCGCCGTGGTAGGAGCCTGTCTCCCCACAAGCGCCGGAAGGAGGCTGGAGCAGGACCTCCGGCTGACTTGCCGGCCATAAGGAGGCAGCTCGACTTGTCTGAGGTGAAGCTCGGCATGGCGGCGGCCGCCCCAGGTAAGTGAGGCGAACTCGGAGGTCGGAGAAAGAGTCCCCCCCCCCCCCCCCCCCCGGACCGCAGCGCCCATCCGGTCCGCTGCGCCCCCTTCATTTCGGTCATTTCGTTTCGATAGCGGAAGAAGCGTAGCGAGGCTTCTACGTCTCTTGTTTGCTGACGCCCGATTCTGGCTCGCTCAGGTGGACGAAGAACGTCCGGCCAAATGAGGGCGGCCAAGAAAGTGGCGCCTACAAATAAACTTGCGGCGTTCCCACGACTCTAAACGTTTCCGAGTTTCGTTGACGAGATCGGGCTAACCGAGGTTCTGCTGGTGCTAGCGGATGCTAAAAAGAAAGCAGGGACTGAGTGCCTCTCCCTGGAGCAGCTTTAGACACCGTTCCTGTGCGTTTTCTTTTTGTTTTTTTTATGGGAAATTTACCCGGTAAGCTTCGCACTTTTTCAGTGAAATTTATTGGTGACTAGAAGCCCTTTTCTGTTTTGCCTAAAACAGAAAAAAATGAACAGAGGCTTGCTTATTTCGATGATTAAATCGTATAGATGATAGAAAGAAGTATATTGTAATTATAGAGTAAGAGGTAAATTTATAATTGAATTTGTAACTGCTTTAAAAAAGATTGGAAGTCACTTATTATCTTTTCTTTATTTTAACTTTTTCTCCTTTCTTGCACTTTTAGTTTTCTGTTTGATTTTTTTCTTTTTCTTATACTTTTTATATAAGCTTGTTCTAGTTTTTATCTTTCTTCATAAATCTATAAAGGAACTTGTTGCCAAATCAGCTTTGCACATAATACATGTATGTATGTAATATGTAGTTCCACTTGATCCTGTTTAGACTGCCCTAAGGAGTAGTGCAATCTAGTTGGATTCACACTGCAAAATGAGCGACAAAAGGGGTCACATTTTAGCCTAGCTTGTTAACTGAAGCCTATGCATATAATTATGATTCCTCTAAAAAAGACATAAAAAGGGCTGAGTGAATCATACTTCAGGGGTAATCAAGAGTAAGCATATGGTTCAAATACTGTCTGTCTCTTTTTTTTCTGAATTACAGATGTATTTTACCTGAATTCCTGTATAGTCAGAGTGTTGTGAGTTATCCCACAACCATACTGGCTTCTAAAACTGATTCAGCTACAAATCAGAGATTCAATGTCTTCTCTTGTCTATGTATATACTTGACAATTATTGAGATTATTTAGAAAATCTTCAAATTTCAGCACTTCAAATCTCCTGCCTTTTTGCTGTTTCCATATAAATTCCAAAATTAGATACATGATTACAACCTATTTAGAAAATTGCTTAGATATACTGCATTGCAGCAGCCAGATTGTAAAAAAAAAGTTGCATGGAATTTAACACTATGCTAATTAAAAGATAGAAACATGCAATTTAAAGTATTCTTTAATTGCATTATATTATATTCACTATTCTTTTATTTTACAATGTATATGTTGTAAATAACTTTATCATCTACCTAAGTTATTAAGCATATTAGAAACTAAATAAAGTAACCAAGGTACATTATGTGTAAATTGGATTATGCTGCTGTAAAATCAGCAGCTTTAAATTTCTCCTAAATCTGCTAAGAATTGAAGCCAGAAAATACAAGCAAGTTTCTCTTCTGTTTTTGAATTTAAGCTTCTGCATGGATAATGTACAAAGAGGGAACTCATGCAAGACCCTTTGAGGGGCTTTTTGAACTGTTCTGATGTAATGGTTTCATTTTCCCCAAAGCTAAAAGCAGAGGAAGTACAGGCCTATAGAAACATGAACTCTGTCTAAATTCTGGAATAGATTAAATAATCAGTCTGTGAGGATTTGGAAAACAATACATTGTTTGGCATGAACTACCATTGATTTGTTAAGAATAAATATTTTAAACCAGAAAGCCAACTTGGTGTAGTAATTAAGGTATCAGGCTAGAAACCGGAAACCATGAGTTATAGTTCAGCCTTGGGCATGAAGTCAGTTGGGTAACCCTGGGCCAGTCACTTTCTCTCAGCCCTAGGAAGGAGGCAATAGCAAACTATTTCTGAAAAACCTTGCCAAGAAAACTGTAGGGATTTGTCCGGGCAGTTTCTGAGATTTGGACATGATTGAACAGAAAAAAAACCCTAAAATCAACCTGATCTCATCTTTTGATAGAATAGTTTAGCTGACAGTGATAACGCAGGAGTGACTTCAGCAAAGTTTTTGACAAATTTCCCCTGAAATTCAGGTAAAGAAGATAACTGAATATGAGCTGAATGGTATTCCCATTCAATAGATATAGAATTGGTTGAACAAAGAATAGTGGCCCCATGTCAAGTTGGTCGGAGATCTCAAATGACATTCTGTAGGAATCTGCTTTAGATCCTATACAGTAGAGAGCCCAAATCCCCGGATTCTGGAGTGGTAGCAATCTGGCCTGTTGGGAACTAGGCTGCACAAGCGGCGTGTAAGTGGACAAAGCTTCATTTGCACATGCAGGGGATCTAGGCTGCACATGAAATCATCTTCTCCCTGATGCTGACACCGCCGATGTTGCCACTTCGTGAAGCTAGAAAGGTTGGGGACCACTGCTGTACAGTTCAATATATTTATGTTGATGTGGGATTAGAAAATATCATCAGAGCTGTAGATCAGGAGTCCCCAACCACTGGGCCGCGGACTGGTACCAGTCCGTGGAACATTTCCTACTGGGCCGCCGGTTTGCTGGGCACTGCCATCTTGTTTTGACGAGAAAGTGCTTCCGGGTGAGCTTTTCCGGTTGGAAAGCGGCGTTTGGGTCCTGAAGGAATCCTCACACCTTAGTTTCATCGAAGGGGGGGGGCTTCGAACAAAACTAAGGCGCGAGGATTCTTTCCAGCACCCAAGGCAAGGCGAGCCAAGCGACCGTCCCGAAGCCATCCTGAAGCGAAGCCCATCGACAAAGGTACAAAGGAGGAGTTGAAGGTGGCGGGGGGAAGCGGAGGACGGCTGGCCGGCCGGTCGCTCGGCTCACCTTGCCTTGTCATGCGTGCAGATGCCAGTACCGGGCTGCGGATCATTTTGTGATGCCGGTACCGGGCCATGGCACAAAAAAGGTTGGGGGCCACTGCTGTAGATAACCCAAAGTTAGGAGAAAATCTCTATCAAGTATCAAGATTCAAAAAAAAAATGGAAAAATGTTTTTTCCACAGATTATTAACAAATGCGTGTAACTATTTTTCTAAATTAAGATATTTGGATTTCTCTGACAGATAAATTCACAAAAGTCTCCAAGAATAGTTATATTGCATTTAGATCAGTTTGTACTAACATTTGCAAATTAAAACATGTAAAATGGTTAAGGATTAGCATTGGAAATTCCAGTCCCAATTAGGTTTACTAAGTGAAGGCCATCTGTTCTGTTGATAGTTTCCTGAATGCTATTGAATGATCATTGATTGGAACAATACCCTTGTTGAACTAGCTGTAGGAGCTTAAAGATGCATTTAATGAATACAGTTTTTGGCTAGGATGATTAATACTGTAGAGGTGAAAAAGAAGATTCAAAAAAGTTCTAAACTGACTTTAGGAGTGGGCTAAAATGAATAGGATGGAATATAATAGGAAGAAGTATAAAGTTCTACATCTAAGTAGGAAAAATAAAAGGCACAAAAGTATGGGAGAGCCTAGTTTAGCAGTAGTATATACAAAAAGGTTTTTGTCAACTACAGTTAAATAAATTTGACCCAGTACTGTGTGCAGTTGCTAAAACACAAATACTATCTTGGAATGGGTTAACAGGCACATTGAATTCATTGAATGCTTAATCTAACAATTATCTCAACCTTATAGAAGAATTCAGCTATTTTTGTAGGCAGGCGGGATTCAAATTTATTATATCACATAAATCGTTCTATGCTGTAAAACTGTAGATAATACCGTATTATTTGAGTATAATAACACCACCAGTGCTCCCTGACTGAATGAGTGTATATTTGTTGAATAAACAGAGAATTGCTACCATTACTATTTAGAGAAAGGCCTGTAGATTTAATGGTCATTTTCAGGCCATATCTTGTAGCTAAAATGCAGGTGCCCTGTGTGGGGATAGAGCACCTCAATGTTGCAGCCACTGATAGAAACAAAACAGTTTGAAGGAAGTGGAAGAAACCATATGGTTAATAATAACTTGCTTCTTTGGAGTAGGACCATCAATTCTTCCCTAATTTGCTGCAACTGAAGAGACAATTGTTTTATTTGGAAGATAGCCAAAATGTTAACCTGTGATGTTGAAACAACCTAATAATGTGGAAACTATCAATATCTGAAGGGTAGAATTTGCAAAAATAGTTGAATTAAATTTGATTCAACCAAGTTACTTTAGCTAATTTTATGTTTACCAGATTCTCTTTGAATTATGATCCTTCGCAGATTGCAGCCTTTAACTTTTTAGTCTGAGTATTGTCATCAAATTTGATGTCAGATTTGTCCTAACTCAGTCATTAGGAAGAAAGAGCCTTCAGCTTCATTCACAGTGAAACGTAAACATTATTAGAGGCAAGCAGTTACAAGTTAGGAAAAAGCCAGACCTGAGGTTTGCATATGAAAACTGCCTTACTTTCCCCTTTCCCAGGTCCTTCTCCCCCATTATCTTCCTGGTGCCCAACTGAATTCAAACTAATTGTTTTGATAAAAGTTCTAATGCTTGGTAGGTTCTGCAATGGTCCACATTCTATTCCCATGTTTTGTGACCTTGGGATCAGCTGGCCAATGTCTCTGACAGGCACTTGGAATAGCTTTGGTTTCTGGTCTTCCTCTCCCATCTGTTCCCCCCCCCCCCCCCCGTTCATGGCAGTCTGGCATCACCGAAGAAGCAATGTGGCAAAGCAGGATGGTAGCACTGACATTCTACCCCCTTTAAAATGAAAGGCTAGTCCTAGGAGGGAGAAAAAGAGAAAATAAATGAGAGATTAATGGATTATTTCAGTGGGGTTTATCAGGGTATTTGCCATGGAATTTTTGAAGGAGACGGGCTTGCACATGTTGCGAATTGACCCACTTAGTTTCAGAGGGAGGAAAGTCCGTCCATAGGATTAAGTATTGGAATTTGCCATATGAAGATGGGAGTCAAGAAAGTCTTTGATCTCAAAGTGTTGTTTTTCCTTTAATGAGGTTTGGTGTTGCAGGTGAGTTCATTGCAGGATACAAAGGGGATGTGGCCACCCACTTTAATAGGCTGCAGTGGAAAATGGGATGGGTGTGCCTGAGATTTTTTGGCAATGTTAATTGAACTGTGACTGGATTAATAACTCAGGAAATGGGGAATGGGCCAATATACTTTGGGCCCTATTTTTTAAACTACTGCCTTAACTGCAACAATTTGGTGAGAGGTAGACTTCCTTTCCCACTTAAAAAGTCCTTTTGCTGAGAACATTTTTCATCTGCAGATTTTTAATAAGTTTTTATGTGTGTATCTTCTTGCACCTTGTACACAACAGGTCAGGTGGTTTGGAAGGATTTAATTCATTCTGCCAGTAAGGTGGTTTGGGGGTTCAGCTGGTGGTCACTCAGAATGGTGTGAATCTGGTACTGCTATGAACTGCATTGTTGTATGCAACTTCTGTTGAATATCCAAATGAAAGAGTGAAGCTAAGGAATGAAGGCTTCACTCCGGTACACCATTACGGCAGGAAAAATAGTTTATCCTGATTGGCTGAGCCATCTGACAGCTCTCTATAAAAGGATGAGCTGTCAGACAGGGAAGCTGTTGGGTTGTTCTTGTTGCTTAATAAAGAGTTTGAAGTCGAAAATCACCATCTATCTCTTCACTCAGCCACAATCTAACAGTGGCGACAAAGGTGGGATCAGAAGAGAAATAATCAAAAAGAGCTGATCGTGATCCCAGCTGGAGCAAAGAAGATGGGCTGTGTCGGCATCTCACTCTCAGTGACCATCACCCAGCCTCCTAATCGCGGATCTGCATCGGTCCTACCAAGATGACTACACATGCCCCACCTGCTCTATTCAACCCAGCTTCAGAGAACTGGGACTCCTATATCATCTGGTTCGAATTATTCTTGGAAGCTAATGACCTCTTGGGACTCTCTGACAATAGGAAGAAGGTGCTCTTCCTGAGCTATTGCAGCTTAGACATATTTAAGACTGCCAAGGCGCTCATGGCACCAGTAGCCATGCAGACTGTACCCTGGATGATGCTTCAAAGTATGCTCAGGACTCATTATGTGTCCATACCATCTAAAATTGTCAGGGGGGAGACTTCCGATTGATGTCATGATGAGACCAGAAACAGCAAACAGAGGTCTCCATTCCTGTGCTGGCTTCTCGTCGTTTGTGGGCTCTGGACAGAGCCGAAAACCACCTTGCAGGGGTGACGAAGTTAAGGAGAAGTGTTCGGTGAGGTTCCAGGGGAGAATGCAACTCCCCGGTAGAAACCCCGAACTTGTTCTCTATGCCACGACGGAGAGAAGAGAGGGCCAAGATGGATGCTACAAAGTTGGGACAGCCAAGGAACATCTAAGCACAGCGCTGATGTGGAGACTGGGAAGGGTGAAAAGAATCTATATTATTTGTAATTACCCCAAAAGTCTATAATAGAGAAGAATAAATAATTGTGCTAGCGGCAGATAAAAGAAGAATTTGGAAATATAAAGAGTTTTAATTTTTTTTAAAAAAAACCTAAAATTTGAAAAGGAACAAATTTAGAAGAACATTAATTTAAAATTGGTGATTGGGCAGGATTTGGCATTAAAGGGCATTAATATGAATGCTGGAAATGATTGTTTTAAAAAGGAGTAATATTTGATTTTTGGTGAAGCTAAATAAAGAAATGGAAAAAGAGTGGCTGTGGAACTGGACTAAAAGGGCTACTATCCTGTAGATCCCTTCAAACTAACGACTTTATTAAAAGAAAAAATTAAAAAAGAAATAAAAAAGACATTATAGTAAGACTCCTGGAAGTTGGACTGATTAACATTAGAAATAAAGATTTGAGGACATTGGTATTTTAAAACAAGAGACACTGGTTCAAATAAAATAAAATTAACTGGATACTGGACAATTGGAATAATAAGCAATATAAAGATGAATAAAATATGTAAAGAAATAAGAATGGATATTCGAGCTATGAATGAGATGGATTTATGCACTAAAATACAGAATACAGAAGAAAATTCAGAAATGGTGATGGCAGAAGAAGAAGGAAAAAAAAGGGGGAGGAGTCAGAAGAAAGGAACCAGTGAAACAGAACAAAATGAACAACAAATAATACAAAGGAAGAAAAAAGTTGAACATGAGATATTAATGATAGACATAATAAATAAGGGGGGATTGAGATTGAAATGCTGATAAATGAAATGGTTAGGGGAATACAGAGAGGAGATCAAAAGAATCTTGGGGCAAACTTTGAGAAAAGGAAGAGAAAATATAAGAAAGTTATGCTAAATAGAGGAAGGACTAAGGGAAAAAGCCAAAAAATGATAGTAAATGGCAAGCAAGCTAAGAAAAGACGAATTAGCATAAAAGAAAGACTTATAGATAATGGCTAGAAATGGAAAAGAGGGAGACTCCACAGGAAGAAGTATATTTGTAGTAAATATATATAATAGATTTTGAGGAAATGGGATTACAAACTATAACAAGAAGGAATAATTTTAATGTAATAGTGATGAAAACAAGAATTTATAATAGATTAATCAAATAAAATAGAAACGTTTATGTAAGATATAAGCGATCAATAGTTAGGATATGAAAATAAATGTTATGTGGAGTCTGACAGAGAATAGATATAACTGTATAGTAAGATAATATTTTTAATGAACTGTATATTTTGTTATTCATATAGATAAAGTAACAAGGTAATAATGTAAGTTTGAATTTATTGGCTAAGAGAAAATATATTAGTGTTAAAATGTTAGAGGGAAGGAAAATAAAATATAAGCAATAGTGGCAAATGTAATATTGGGGGAACATAATAGGGGAATATTATAAATTAAGATGGAATTTTTGAACATTTAAAGAATGGTACAAAATTGTAAACATGGTGAGCACAAGAATACATGATTAAGGAAATTAGAGATTGTTTAATATGTTTTTAATGAATTAAATATTTTGTTATCTACGTGTACAAGGTAATGAGGATACATTGTTATAAATTTGATAATATAATATATAAATATGGCAACTATAAAAACATACAATTAAGGACATTAGAGAAGGGATAACTTTAAATTAAGATGAAAATTTTGAATGGCTAATGAAATGAAATGATTTGATTAAATTATAAATACGTAGAATATATGACAAAGGAAGATAGAGAGTGAATTAAAATAAAGAGACTGATACAAAGTAATTTATGAGAATATAAAGTTGAAAAAAATGATAGACAATGAAGTGATGCTGGAAAGTTGTATTTATGATCATGGACATGATTGGTTTAAAATGTCAAACACCTGAAACTGTATTTAAATGTATTTAAATAATTAAAAAATAAAAAAGCTTTTTGACAAAAAAAATAAAATTGTCAGGAAGCATGAATTCAACTGCCAAAACCAGGAGGAGGGCGAGTCGATTAACCAATACATCGCTGCATTAAGAAAAGCCACATTGTATTGTGAATTCAGGGAACTTGATTAAGTTCTCTTGGATAGAATAGTCTGCAGAATAAGGGATATTAATCTCCAAAGGTGCTTGCTCACAAAACCTAACCTGTCACTACAGACAGCACTAGATGAAGCCAGAGCCGCAGAAACTTTGAATGTGTCTATGGTGCCAATTCAGAAGTCTAACACCCCACCAAATTTGTGCAGAGCTATTATCATTCATCAAGAAAGCACCAAATGTGAATAATCGTCCAAGGAGAAAGATGAGGTTTGCCGCCTTCATTTGGCAAAAAAGAGGATGAACCCCAAAGCAGAAGAAAAGCAGGCTATGTGCTCTGGGTGTGAGGACAATCACCCCAGATTGGTGTGTAGATTCAAAGATGCCATTTGCCAGAGATGTGACAGGAAGGGGCACTTGGCAAGGGTCTGCCACACCAGTCACCCTGCCGCATACTGCACAAACCAGCCTGCCTACCAGATGGGTCCCCCAAAGGAGCAACCCTGGAAAATCCAGTGGGGAGAAGGACATGTCACAGCCCAAGAACACATACCAGATGACCATTGGACAAGCAAGTTCACCATGCGCAAAGAAAATCCATGTCAGAGTCCTCATTGAGGGATCACTGTGTACTATGGAAGTGGACACTGGGTTGTCAATGTCAATCGTGTCCTGGGTGACAATCAAGAAAGTAGTGCCAGGGGTCATGAAAAAACAGTTGAAGTACCAATGAATTCAGCTGAAGGATTATCAAGGGAACTGTATCCCTGTCATAGGGAGCGGGACCTTTCAAGTACAATTCAAAAAGTTTAGGGGACCTCTGCAGCAGACTGTAGTGAACGGCGCCCTGCCAAGCCTGCTTGGCTTAGACTGGTTCACATTCCTGGGCCTGGGATCCACACCATCGGAGATGACAGCACTGATGAGCTGATCAAGGAATTCGTGGACATTTTCAATGGGAGTTTGGGCAAATATATGGGGACACACATCTCCTTCAACCTCGACCCCAAAGTCACCCCCATAAGGATAAAGCCACACAGGGTCCCTTTTGCATTGTGGCCCAAACTAGACAATCAGCTTGATAAATTAATTGCCCAGGAGTTTTTGGAGCCGGTAGACCATGCCAAATGGGAGACTCCCATAGTAATGCCGGTCAAACCAGACCGCATCTGCAGGGACTACACATGTATGATCAACAAGGCTTTACAGCAGAGTACCTATTATTACTCACTGGGGGTGCTTTAAATGCTGCCGATTGCAATTTGGCATGAGTATAGTACCAGGGCTATTTCAAACCGTCATGGAATATCTTTTTACAAGACATTCCAGGGGCTGTGCCATATTTCGATTATGTCCTGATTGCCTCCAACCACAAGGAACTCATTGGCTGACTAAGAATAGTCCTTAATAGGTTTCAGGAAGTTGGACTAAAGGTTAAATAGGAGAAGTGTCAGATAGAGGTGCCCTGGGTCAAGTTTTTGGGTTATTTGATTGATGGCTCAGGAATACATCCCACTGAAGACAAGTTCAGAGCCATTAAAGAAGCTCCCACTCCCAGAAACCAGTCAGAACTCCAGGCCTTCCTGGGACTGTTAAATTTCTATAGTATGTTTTTGCCACAGAAGGCAACAGTGGCCAAACCATAAAGGGGCAAGATGGACCTGGGGCCAAAGGGAAACTGCTGCATTCGCCGCAGTTAAACACTTCTATCTTTAGAGAGTGTCCTGATGCAGTATAATGAGACTATGCCTGTAATCCTAACATGTGACACCTCCCTGTTTGGCTTCAGGGCTATCCTCAGCCACCGAATGCCTAATAGGTTCGAGGCCCCAATCACATTTTATTCCAGGACACTATCAGCAGCCGAATGAAACTACAGCCAGCTGGACAAGAAGGCACTGGCTATAGTGGTGGGGGTCAAATGATTTCATGAGTTTCTGTATGGCTGGAAATTCGAACTGGTGACTGACCGCAAAATGCTACTGGGCCTGCTTGCCAGGGACCACCCAACATCCAACATTTTATCACTGTACATGACACGCTGGACAATATTCCTGGTGGCCTACCATTATCAGCTGATTCACTGACCTGGCAAGACCCTGGGCCATGCCGACGCCCTCATCCGATGCCCTCTTCCAGCAATCATGAAAGACCCCACCCCTATTGCACCCGTACTCCTCATTGAGGAGATATTTTCCAGCTCCATCACAGCAGCTGAAATAGCGAGACACTCAGCCAAGAATAAAACCTTGGCCCAAATACTAAGCCGGGTGTGGAGGGGGTGGCCAAAGGGGCCAGTTGGTGTGGACTTACAGCCATTTCATGCTCAGCAACACGAGCTACCAGCCCAAAGAGGTCTGCTGTGAGGGGATCAGATAATTGTACCCCCAAAATTAAGGAGAT